AAAACTTAGTGAATATAGTGGAGTTTACGCTAATATTGTCATGTTAGCATCACGAACGATTAAGTCTGTATAGGGCAATCATGAATTTTTTTCTTTGCCCATTTTCTTATTAGATCACAGTTATAGGTTTTAACGTATTGTTCAATCAATCAATAATCGATCGAAAGTGGAATTCAGTAGTGAGAATTAAAAACTAGGATTTAGTGCATTTTCGAATTAATGCCCACACCTTGTAAGTGGCTTTGCCAATAGGAAACTCATTGAAGATCTCCATATCAGATAAGTCGGCATAGCCAAGCGTTTGCCTGAATGGAAAAAAAAATTAGTCAGAGCTTCTTGACGCATATTGTTTTGTCCATATATCACATCAACTAATCACAGTTTTATTCGCTTGTTCAGTCTCATTTGGTTCTAAGCTTGAATTTCACGTATTAAATAAAATGAACAGGTTTCCCTTAGATTTTTCAGTATTGTCGAAGAATATTAAGGAAAAGAGAGCTAGGTTTTCCTGCGGATATTCTGCTTGAATGCTGAAATACTTCAAAAAGAAAATTTGAGCCATGTTTTATCGTGATAGAGTTTGCAATAGTAAACCTCAAAGAATGTGATTACCTATGGCTAAGGTACTCTTCCACTCGCTGCCGAGCTACTTCTTCATCTCCACCATGACCTCTTAAGAATCGAGCGAGAAAAAATGGAGAATCGAGACAAGATGGTAAAGGTAGAGTGGATCTGAAATTGCTCCACTTTGATACCGAAGGACATTTAAATAATATAATCCATAAAATTTTATTTTTTTAGCAAAAAAAACCTCATTTTTCTCGCTTTCTCCATGATATCATCTGAAAATGGCTCGGGTACAATAAGATTGTGCATTTTGTTCTGGAAAGGATTAAGATCATAAAGCAAAAGCATAGGATAACGCCATATGTCTGAGATAAACCACAATCGATAAAGTTACTGGCTGAGTGAATGAAGAATGAGGAGAAACGGGAATTTGACATGGTGTTTGACTCAAAAGAGGCAAAACAACAAGTTGGCATTGATTTTCGGTCGAATTTGAAATCATGATCCAGTTTTTGCAAGTTGTGGAAATCATAGCCAACAAAAAC